TGAAAAATTCATGCCTACAACAGTCACAATATTTAATACTAATTTAAGTAAACAGCCCAACTAACATCTTTTGTGTTTATTTTCTCTGGTTTTCGGTGACACTTTTTGTATATTAGGGATGTCAACATGAAGTAAAGTAAACAATTAACGGATAAGCCTCGGTTTATAGGTTAATCTTACCAAATGCATGCACTACCCGGCTCCTGCTGCCTCTGTATCAGTGGCAGCGGCGTGAGGGGTGGGACGGGAGCCAGTGCAATGGGGGGCCAGCTTTTAAGCCAGCTCTCCACGAGCACCAGATTTGCAGAGTTGCCTGTCCTCCCTACCCCAGCGCTGCTGCCTCAGATACAAAGGCAGCAAAGCATTGGTTGAGGGGGCAGGCAGAAGCCAATACACACTGCCTTTCTGTATGAGGCAGCAGCGCCAAGAGGAAAGGCAGGAGGCGATACGTGTGGGGAACTGGTTTTTAAGTTGGCTCTCCCTCCATGCCTCCTATCAGAGGCAGCAGCAGGGGAGGGGGCAAGGGCTGCTGCCATGGAGCAGCTCTGTCCACAATGGGCCTAGTCTTGCTGCGGACAGAGGCTGCTCGGTGGGATGTCAAAGCAGATTCTGTTCACCAGGAGATCAGACCCCTTGTGGACAGAGGTGGCAGGTGGGAGCTGGTTTGCTCAGGTAGCCCGTTTTTAACCGGCTCCCCTCAGATTCGCTCCCACCTGCAACCTCAGGTTGCTGCCTCTGATAGAGAGGCTGGAATCTCACTGGCTGCCGGCCCCAGCCCTAGGGACGATCAAATAGTCATGTAACCGATAATATTTTGTGAAATTACACGACTATTCAATTAATCACTATGTAATGTTCCTACTGCATATAGTTAGTTTCACCATTTTCCATTAGTCAATACTGTATCTCCCTTATAAACACTAACAACAAATAAGAAAATAATTCTTATCCTCTACAGGTTTTAGAAGAAAAGATATTCAAGGCCATTAAATTAGTGGATACTCTATCAGAAAAACAGCTTGTTAAGCAAATTAAAAAAAATTCTCAAAAATTGCAAGTTGAGAATGCACTCATTCATTTTTATCAAGTAGTCCCAGAAAGCCAAGTCATTTTACCATAACTTGCACTAATGATGCATAACATCAATTTTGTATTATATAAGTAAGCACAATATCAAAACTGCTGACCTTATTAGGTGTATTGGGGATGACCAAATTGCATAAAAGCACAAACATTTGGCACTAAAGCAAAGCAATGCAAAGATGTAACCTTTTATTTTAAGAGGCCTTTTGTTGGTATACAGGCATTCCCCGAGTTACGCGGATCCGACTAATCCGCCCAGATGCGCCGCAGTCCGCCGCCCCCATCCTCCGGGGCAAGAAAAGCTGCTCCCCGTCTCCCTGGTCTGCAGGGAGACGGGGAGCAAAGCCTTGGAGCACACCCGCAGCGGGACAGCCCGGGCGCGCTTGAGCTGTCCCCACTGCAGGCGTGCTCCGCGGCTTTGCTCCCCGTCTCCCGACCAGCAGACCAGGGAGACGGGGAGCAAAGCCCTGGG